ACAGACAGAGAAGAACACTTACCTGTACACACACAACACGAACACGAAGCGCGAGACAGACGCGTACACGCACGACATATACCTGGCACACCACCTCCCCCGGCCCAGGGGAAGTATACAAGCTGGGCAGCCCCGCAGCGTTCTGGACCGGGTGTTCGTTTTGGTTGGTTGCCTAACGATGTGTGCATGTGGTGGGCGTACTCATGGGCATTCAAAATCACTGCAATGGTGGTGCCGAGATGCGTTGCCGGGGAGCTAGCCATGGGTAACCTTTGAAGGGACACCTCAACTCGGCACAGAGGGGTCGCAGCTAGGCAAAGATGGCACTCGACTTGTCAAGCGTGTTGCTCTGAACATCGTGCACACCACCCCATCCCGCCATCCGTCGTCCCCGCGGAGAAACACCCATGTCACATCTGTGGGTGAGTTGTGGCGCCTCAGCCAAGCTGTCCCAAGGCACGGCCACCACACCACACAGTAGCCATTGACACCCTCTAACTATCGGCCCACCCGCCTGCTCCCCGGCGCGACCACCGTCAGTCTGCTTCAGACCGATTCTGTCTGTCGGCGAACTGACCGCCTTTTTCTCTCGGACTATCGACTCGCCCTGCCCAGCCACGTACCCTAGCGAGGTCGCCTTGTCACGCTCGACACGGTGAGAGGTCAATCAGATGGGAAAATGACAGGCAAACGCACTCAAACTCTCACTCTGTGTCTGACTCAGGTCTGTGCGGCGTTTTCTGACAGTTTTGACTGTCATGAGGACGCGCTGCTTCACTCAGCCGATGACGGACGACTCACTCACTCACCCAGGTACTCACACATTGACAGGAAGGCCCACTCACACACATCCATAGAGATGTATACATACACACATATGTACACAAGATCGATCGACACATCTGCTGCCTCTTGGGTCTCCTGTGTGCCTGCAGGCGCCTCTCTGTGCACCTGAGCGTCTCGCGGACCTCTCTCTCTCTTCCATCCACCCTTCTCCCCCTCCACCCTCCATGTCCAATCCGGGAAACCTTGGTGCGCCAAACATCCGCCCTGGTCCCTGCCTCGTCTTTGCAGGCCTGCTATATCGTTTCCATGGATGCATTTTCATGCATTCATAGGAAACGCAAATGAATGAATGAATGAATGAAAGAAAAAAGAGAGAGCATATTTTTTTGCAAGTGTCGCTCTTTCGGGCTGTGTGATGGCTGGTGTGAGATGTCGCAGTGCCAGCAATGCGGGGGCAGAGGACGAGAAAGAGTCGGACGGCGGCAAGGATGATGCCAAAGTCTGACTCATCCTCGGAGGTGGCTGGGTGATTTATGAAGCGGAGAAGCTGCGAGAGAAGACCCGTGATGCCCACACGATGGCCGACTTTCACGACGCTATTTCGTTCATGGACAGTGAACGTGAACAGTAAAGCAGGGCAAGTAAAGTTTGTCTTTGTTTGTCTGCAGGTTGGTCGTTTGGTGCCAAGGATTCGCCAAAAAGATCAGCCCTTTTCTTCAGGGGAGAAGCTCAGAAGCTCTCTGACCAGCGTGGCTCACGTGGGCGGCCCCTGTCTTCTTTGTATGAGGCGCGGACATCTCGTTGAAAGAGAGAAAGTGAAAGACGACCCTGAAAAATATGGGATGTATCTCAAGCGAGTTTGTCGCGAAAGGGAAAGGGAAAGGGAAAGAAAAGTGAGCAATGCCTCTCGTACAGTCAGCCATCCACGTAACAAGGGTGCACGTGAGCGGCTTCTGCATAACGAGCGGACGTCACGTTATCATTTGGAGGTACGTTGTGAGGTGTGAAGACGAAGAGCCTGAACGGAGTCGAGCATATCCCGCCACACGCGGATGAAACAGAGACACGATCAAAGGGGACGGGATACTGCTGATGGGCCACGAGGGAGGGAAAGAGACATGACGAATCTTGAGTCTCTCCCAACTGGGGTCGACGAGACCAAAGTGAGCTGCAAAGCGCACGTGAAAATCGCGAGCGATCGATTGCAGGGACCGCGATAAGTGGAGATGCTTGATGCTTGCAAAAGACGCCGCACGAAAAGTAATGCAGAGAGCACGCTCAGAATTGACACAATACGGCAGATGATCAAAATTATGAAAGTCATGGGTGAAAACGACGACAAAGAGCCATCAACTACTCAGCAATCCCCATGGCAATCCCATATACCCTTTTCAGACTTCCGCGGGGGCAAGCCTTTTCGCATGCGCTTGTACCAATTTGTCGTCGCATGCGTTCGACCGCGATCGCCTGTGTTATTTAATGCTTAACCTCACGAGAAACCAGTCACTCGACCCCCCGAAGGGGTACCCTAAGGACAAGTCTGTACATGTAGAAAAGCTCGCTCCTCTCGGAGGTGAATGAAGAATGTCAGGCTCATTTTGCTGTTCGTTCGTGTTGGCATGAGATATGTCTGTGCGTATCGACAGCGAGCCCATCAGCATGGGCATATATGGACACTCGGGTGTGGCTGTAAGACAAGCATTTGATCACTGCAGTGTTCGAATGTGCAATTGGACGGAATTATCGCGTTTCCCCAAGGGAGATTTCTTGGTGCATGTCTCCGCTTATCTCTCAGCCGCTACACACGCCGCTGACAGGTCTCTTCACCTCGTATCCCTCTGCGGATAGTGTCTCATGGCAACTCACGAACACAGTTGCGCACACGTATCATGACATCCAGGTCCTCCAGCCCATCTGTAGATCTACTGCCCCCGAAGAGCCGCTGTGTACCCTGCAATGAAACACACCAATCACACCAATCACACCAATCACAGCAACCTGTGCAACTACCTCGTTCTGCCGACTGCTCGCGCTCCTCAATGGAAGCTCTAACGCCAACAACGCTGTCGGCCGCTGACAACATGAAGGAAAATGTGCCTCCTTTTCATCTTCCCTCGCTCTCCCTGAATACATGCGTTCGTGTTTACGCGTACGGCATGTTTTCGGCCCAGAAATGGACGCGCTTTCTCCTCCCCACATCTGCACACGCCCCTCTTTGGAATTCTTGAGCCAGCAATTCCGGTGAAGTGACGGAACGAAGATGAACGAGAAGTACTCGCACATGTTCTCGTGTTGGCATTCCGATTGGCACTCGTCGGGCGACGTCGCTGTTACACCGCGCACATCGTTGCCCAGATAGTCGGCGTACTCGAAGCAATACTTATTCAAATCAGCTGCCGAGTCGGCATCTGCCAGGGATGCCAAGGTCGGTGGTTTGCCCAAGTCACCGTATGGAATTCTCTCTTCTTCCAACAACTTAACGAAATCGTCAGGACTTGCGGTGTCCTCTGTACTTGCCTTTTGCAAGGCTGGATAATCGCCGGTAGTGGTCGGCAGCCATCCGATGTCGTTGGCTGGGCTGTCGGGAATGAAGTCGCCTTCCATGACGAGCACCAATGGCTTGCCTTCGCCAATGACGATTTTCAGGCCGCCTTCCTGCACCATGGTGTCGCATGCGTCAGTAAGGACATTGCATAGGATGGTCCCTGTGGTGTATGCTGTCGGCAGGTTTTCTTTGGGGATAAAAGGCTGTCTGCCGTGGCCCGAGCCGAGGTTGGACGTGACCACCAATGTGTTGTTGCGGGAGTAGATGTACAGCCAGTCCTCCACCTGGTTGACAGAAATGGAGCGACGAGCTTGGCCACGGTCTCCTATGAACTTACGTATCTCTCTTGTTGCGGCCCGTCGAAGACTCCCGCTTTCCTATGCGTGAGCATTCGCCTTATCATCTTGTAGTGGAAGGCCTCCTGGTCATAACCCTTTCGCCACAGGGGCTCGCGAATATCTGGGGCAATCAACACAGACAGACATGCATTGACCACCCGAATACGTTTTTCTTGTGGCCCTCACCGAAAGTAGCTGCCTGTTCCGACCCGTAGTAGACGATGGGTATGCCGTCAGCTCCGAGGATCCAGGTGAGTGCGTTGGTGAAGAGCGTCACATCGGGCTGGAGGTTCAGGAATCGCTGAAGGTCGTGGGAATCGATGAAGAGCGCCAAGGCACTTAGGTCACTTGAGTACGGAGATGGACGGGGGTGAGAAGCTTTCAAAGAGCGTGTGAGGTTTTGTTGGCCATCTGTTGCCTACCTGACTTCCTTAATGAGTTGTTCCCACATCCACTGGACGCCATACAGAGTTTTTTTCTCACCAAACGCCAGACGCAGCTGTATGGCCAACGGATAATTCGTTACCTGCACACCAATCCACACACAAAAGCAGCAACTGAGTGACCACTCACTCAGGCGCCATCTTTGTGCGTCTTGTCTGTTAGTTACTCCGTCCATGAGTTGCCTTTGTTGGAGTCTGTTGAATTGGTAGCTAGCTATGGACTGAGCAGATGCCATGAAGGTCTCGCCGATGGTCAACGTTGTGTTGGACAACCGCTCCCACAACTCATATAGTGTCTCGGGCTGCATGTGGGCGATGGCGTCCATTCGGTAGCCGTCAAAGCCGAACTTGTGCACTTGGTACTCCGCCCAGTCGATTAGGTACTTCCTGATTGACATATGGGCTCACATCATAAAATTCGCACAGTCCGTCGTACCTGACTTGAGGTATGTCGTCGTCTAGATCGGGCAGGCCCATCAGCCAGCAGTTCCGCACCGCGTATTGGTCGTTGTAGTCCATGGGGCAGTCTTTGTGGTAGTAAATAGTGTCATTGAAGGGCCACAGGTTCTCTAGCGGCTCCTCCATGCTCATGTGGTTCAGTACTGTAACCCCAAATTGACACAGAAGAACAGAAAAAGGGTGTGTTGGTCGCCCTGCCGCCCTTCCATCCTCACCTGTGTCCATGACGATCCACAAGTCCAGGCCGTGGGCCCGTTTGATGAGGGCATGCAGGTCAGCCTCCGTGCCAAAATGATCGTTGACTTCATCGAAATTCTTCGGCCAGAACCCTGACAGCCAGCCACATTACCTCGTTTCCCCTTGGTTCTCATCGGCCGTTACCATGGAATCCGCATTTTGTGTTCTGCACGTGGGGCGATATCCAGATAGCGTTGAAGCCCATGCCCTTGATGTAGTCCAGGTGCTCCGTCAGCCCCGTCCAAGTGCCACCACAGTATCCCCCTCCCTCGCACTTGTCACTCCCGCAGGTGTCCTGCTCCTTCCCCCTTTCCAAAGTGAACCGGTCAGTCAACAGCTGGTAAATGACGCGATGAGACTGCACCCATTCGTCGCGCGTTTTCGCTTCACACAGCACCAAGAGCAACAGCACGGCAACAGGGAATATTCGTGACCGAACGCGGCATCGACAGTCCATGGAAAGTGCCAACAACCTTGTTTGTATGTACATACTACGTAGTTCACGAGAAAAGGGAGTCCGGCGTTGAGTAACCGTTTCGTGGAGTAAGCGTTATTCTCTTTTGTTAACAGTGGCGGTGGGACTGACGACAGTGACCGATGGTAGTCGACTGGCTTCTTTCTGGCTCTGTCTTTTACCGCAAAGTGGGAGAGTCGGGGCGGCGGGCGCCCCGCTTTCGGACACCCTCATCTCCCCGTGTGTGTTTGTGTCAAGGGCATATTTATGTGTGACTGGTCGATCTGCACTGGCTGGCCAGCTGGGGATGGGCGGTATGTACGTATGGAGTCATGGTGCAGCACGCACGTCGCCTTTGGGCTGCCCCTTCCAGCCACGTGCTGGGGTGTGTCGCCGGGCCCCTCACCAGGAGTGGTCAGGACCGGCTTGAATGGGGTTCACGCTATGGAGATAGCGCTTACTCGATGCTCTACAGTACTGACACTTCTCGATGGGAGACACTCACGGTTCAACGACAGGCACACGCACACGAATAAGGTCTCACACGGCACTGCACCACACCTGCTGACGACGGCAGGCTCTGACACGACTGACACACACACTCATGACAACTGCTGAGGCCACCAACCTCGGCAACACGGCTTTCTGTCTGCTTCGTGGCACGCCTTGACGCCTTGGGCTTGGTTGGTTTAACTTCCCTCTTGAAGGATCAAGCAGGCAGCTTCACAGTCAGTAGGTAGGAGTCGCCGAAGGGATGGGAATGGCTGGAATCACTGAAAATCCGGCAAGTGCCGAAAAGATCAACGAATCGGCACTTTCGTCCTTCGGGATCACCGGAAAAAGCCGTAATGCCCAGCCAGTGGCCAATCGGAGCGCCAGCTCTCGCTCTGGAGCCGTTCGTCTCTCGCTCCGGAGCCGTTCGTCTCTCGCTCCGGAGCGCGAGGCCTGTCGCTCCGGATGTTACCGCCGTTCTGTCCCGCGGTGTCTGTGTCCGATGTGGCCCAATGATGAGATAAGCAACGACAGATCAAAACATCAATATCACCACATTTGTCGTTTTGGCAATAAATCGATAGCAAATGACAAATTCGTGCCTCACGCTTAAGCACCCTTGGTTGGCGATTCTTTAAGGAGCGTCTTCATAAACCTGTGCAGGACTCGCCACTCCGCAGCTCAATACATACATCGACGCCTCCGCATCCATTGCAAACGCTCTCGCTCGATCGACAACACGCTTGGGTACTCGTATGAGTCACTGATGGCCTCTAAAGCGTGCCCCCGCTCACGAGGAGGCGCAGAAAACTTGGCACCCATCGGCTTTCACACGAGACTGTCGCCGTGTCTTGCGGTCAAGGGGAGCGCAGCAGAAAAGCATGCATGGTGAAAAGAAAGAGACCGCAGTGCAACATCACTCAAATGATGAACCTTTCCAAGACAACTGCGGTGCAAACGATGTTATGGCGGAGGTGTGTAAACTTTCGCCCGGCAGGACGAGGAGCGATGGCCGCTTGCGTGCGTCAGGTACAGGGACAGCATACCCGCTCAGGAAGCCTTGACCATCATCCCGTGTCCCACATGAAAACACGAAAGTCCACACGTACACAGCGTACATGCAAGGGTCAGTACGTGCAGGGCACAAAGTACTGCAACACGATCGACAGAGCATGCACAAAGTACTGCAGGGCGTACGCTCCGACACCCCCTCTCGCACTGCTGGGCACGTGCGTGCTCCCCCTCTACCGCAAAAACGCCATCCTTCCCCCTCTTGCACTGAGGCAGGCAGAGACAAACTTCGACACACTCACCAATGCAACCATCGGCATCCACAGGAATGTCTCAGCTCTCAAGAGATAGACACACTGCCTCACTCTTCAGCTCATTCCATGCATCACCAGGCATACATACAGCTTCAGATGAACTCAGTGCTCCCAGCCCTCCAGGCTACTCAGAGTATCAGATGGACAACCACGCCATCACTCACAGCCAAGGCAATGCACACATCATCATAGCTGCCGTATCCTGCCGCACTGTCTCACAGTCAGGACATCATCTCAATCCCGCCAATGTACGACGGCTCGAAAAGCGGGGAATCCTCATCGGCAAAAGCACCGCCGACAGCCGATCCCTCCTTCTTCTTGGGCCGCGGGCACTCGGGGTCGCCTCTCCTATGCCCGACCGGCTCCTCGGCCGCTCCCCGACCGCTCATCCACGTCCTCTCCGACTTCACAGCACTTGACATGCAGATCTCGATGGAAGAGCCCCGCAGGTGTTGGTCGGTGAAGCTCCTCACCAGCGCCACGAGGCCCTCAAAGTCGAGGTCCTTCTGCGCGGCCGCGATGGCATGCAAATTCTCGAAGTGCTGTGGCAGCGAGTCCAGCAGAATCGCCATCTTGAGCCCCTCCGTCGGCTTCTCGGACTCGTCGTCCTTGATGGTCGTCAGGCGTCGCACCAGCTGAGAGAGGCGTCCGAGATGCTCCTCCAGGCTGTCCATCGATAGGACACCAGCCTGCCACTCGAACGACACCATCTGTAGCCACAGCTCGTAGATCTTCTCTCGCCTGGTCACCTCGTACAGGTCCTTCAGAGCCTTCAAGTATGCCGTCGGCCCGTTCCCCTATGGCATTTGCCTCACCGCACTGATGGTCGTCCCGCTCACGCTCGTGCACAAAGGCCATGGCGGATCCAGCAAAGCAAAGTAATCTGGCAGGGACAAGGCGGGCCCCAGCAAAGTAGAGCAAAGTAGAGTAATCCTCTTTCGAGCATACCCACCAAAGTAAGCAGAGTAAAGTAAAGTAGAGTGAAGTAGAGCAGAAGGACCACCAAAGTGAAGTGAAGTAAAGTAAGTAAAGTGAAGCAGAGCGAGAAGCCCATTAAAGTGAAGTGAAGCAAAGTAAAGCAAAGCGAAGCAGAGCGAGAAGCGACCATTAAAGCAAAGTAGAGTCAGTGGACGCGTCATAGTGCTTACGAGTTCATCCGTCTGTCGCTTCCGTCTTCGGCTGCTATGTATTTGGTCCGGTTCAACGCTTGACTCTTTGCTTCCCGTCGCGGTCTTCGCGAAGCTTCGCTTCATTTTGCTTCACTTTACTTCACTTGCTTGAGGGCGCTCCCCCCCTTCCCTTTGCTTAATTTTACTTGCTTTGCTTTACTTTGCTTGAGGGCGGTCTCCCCCCTTTGCTTTGCTTTACTTACTTCACTTTGCTTGAGGGCGGTCTCCCCCCCTTGCTCCCCCCCTCCCTTTGCTTTGCTTTGCTTTGCTTTACTGACATTAGTGGCCCTTCCTGCGGTTGCTGCATTGATGTGCTTGACTTAAAGCGGAGTAATCCGAATCAAAGTACAATACTGTACTTTCCTTTACTAAATCCGCCACCATCGGGAGGAAATGGATTCTCGTGTGTGAAACTGTCCCTTGCCTAACACGAGCAACGCATCGGAGCCCATCGGTCCTTTAGTGAAGTTTGATCAGTGCATCCACCCGGCACTCACTGAGGTCAGACTTGGCGACCCCTAAAATCGAACACCACCGGGAGCCAGCTGCACATATGATGTTCGGGACTCGCGAGCTCTGAGCGAGCGAGGCGCGCTCTTGCCTGCTGGCTCCAGCAACCTCCGCACCTGAAATGGACAAGCGGCGCAAGAATGGCGCGTGCCGCGGACAGCGCAGCGAGAGACGACAGATATAGTCGCCTCCCGGCACCTGCGTGTCGTGAGACAACACAGGGGGCGCTGCCGGGCTGGGAGGGTGGGAGAAACGCGATAAGCTGATCCAGTCGCTGGCTCCAGCAACCTCCGCACCTGACATGGCAGCCGGCGCAAGAATGGCGCGTGCCGCGGACAGCGCAGCGAGAGACGACAGATAGTCGCCTCTCGGGCACCTGCGTGTCGTGAGACAACACAGCCCATGCCCATGGTCGTTCCATCAGTAGTGGGATGGAGCTTGCAGTAGACTGTGATTCGGTTACGAGCGACATGTCTCTAGCTCGAGACACAGCAGACGAGGCGGATACGCGCATACAAAAAACGATCGATGCTTCGTATAACGATTTGCATGACTCAAAATACGTACACAATACGGACGACCCATAACGGATGGATACACTATGTGTTCGACGCTGTGATTCATCGACGGCCCCGACGGTTGGAAGGTGCAGACGCACAGTCAGGTCTCTGCAATCTCTGATTGTCGGCGTGGCGCAAGAAGGCGCGGTCAGAGAAAGAATGGATTGGCAATAAGTCGTGAGCGCCGCCGCCGATGCGAAGGCAGTGAGGCAATTGTGACTACTCCACGACGACACGAGTGGAACATCGGGATTAAGCGACAGAGTAACGGGCGCGCGGATTCTAGAGCACCCCGTTGAAGCCTCCTCCCCTGATCGCGCAATTTTTAAAAAGTCCCAAATGTGACGAAAAGTATTTAAAAACCGGCAAACCGCTGGAAGATATTTAAAACGACGCAAATAAATAAAAAATTAGACGAGAAATTTTAAGAACTTAAGGCGATGACCGGGGGGGGGCAGGAAATGCTATTTTGAGGCTTGTTTTAGGCATCGAAAACAGGTTTAGACCCTCTTCATGTCGCCACATTCTTGCCAGCCATTTTCATTTTAAAACTTCGCAAACCCCTCAAAATCAAAGGAATAATCTTAAAAAGTCTCAAATAAAAATAAAAAAAGGGGAGCAATTTTTAAAGAATTCAAATCAAAGGGAGGAGGCTTCAACGGGGTGTTCTAGAGCAGCCGCGGGGAAGAAGTAAGACGTCTCGGCACATTCGGTCGCACAACAGCGCACGCAACCCCCGCTCGCTTGCACTCGACGACTCAGGATGGGATTGGTTGCGATGAGCAAGCCCAAAGAATGCAGACCTTCAAGAGACGCGAGAGACCCAACGGGTAAAAGAAGAGTGCGACTCCGCAATCATGCGCCACTTTGTCAGGCAGCACAGTCCCGATCGAAAGCGTAGAGGAGGTATGTCTCGTTGACGAACCGGAAGACGCTATGGACCATAAATGAGAATAGCGAGGCTTCACAGGTCGAGAAACGAGGTTGCCAACGACAGCAGAGGCGTGCGGCCCTCATACGACGAGCACAATATACGGCCAAATCCCACGACGCACATCACGCTGAAATACGGCTGCGATCCATCAAGTACCATCGACAGCTCTTAGAAGCTGCACGAGACGACACGACTCAGTTGCCTTCAGCCTCAGGACGCCAATACTTGTGTCAGACACGACTGAGCATACAGCTAGGACCTTGAATCGATGACGATGGCGCACATGCACGATAAGCTTACAGACAGTGAATTGATGAGAACCCCTTGCTTCCCCTCGACGACGTGGCTGTATTGATAGAGGGCGACACAATCGCGGCCCGGGCACGTGCCCGACAGTCGACCGGTGCGTAGCCAGAAACGCACGAGACATGCCGCTTTGCCCCGCCATGAATTCGTTGTCTCCCAACAAACACGCCGCGTTGCATTCATAGGGGTAGCTCGCCGCAACAGACAAGGGGAAGGGCTACCAAGAGCATCACAACGACGACGAAGAAAGATACGAGACCTGTCGAAGACCTCTCCGACGCCGACGCGACAATAGAAAGGAATCCCGTTTGACGACGACTTCTCCCCTTCCGCTCGACAAAGCACGCACCATCGTTGCGTCTTCGTCCTCGACTTACGCGTCTTGACTCGATAAGCCGCACACCCTCGCACCGATAACAAGACCGAGCCTCCCACGGCAGAGGACAAACGATTGGACGGAGGCTTTTGTTAACGATCGACGCAAGACGCGCAGCTCCACAACACCCATACCTTGTGCCCCACGAGCCGGCGCGTGACGCAGCCACACTTTGTGACACACGCAGAACTTGAGATGGTGAAGACGTATAGTCTCGCCCGACGATGGACCCGAAATCGAGTCAATGATCGACGCCCAATGGACCTGGACACGAGCGCGCTGCCTTGAATGTTGTAATTTGACGAACAAGACATCGTCCCCCACGGCGCGTCCAGATCAAGACGTGTGAGTCAATAGTCTAAGCAGCCGCAAATCGGCGACGGCATGCTCAAGACTGCGGAATTGGCGCTGCTGCACTCCGACGAAGAGAGCCACCTTCTCCCCCAACGTCCCCGGAACGCGCATTGGCCGAGACACACAAAATCAAATCGATGGCGTGCACAACTGCGAATTGGCGAGGGCACGCAGCCCTGAGTACGACCACGATCGCTGAGAGCGGAGATGTAATTCGATGGACGAGGGTTTGATGTCTCCCCGCAGTCCACAGACGCAACAAGGACTGAACCGCGAAATGACGGTGCCGCGTAGCGGACCGGCAAGAGCAAGCCTCCCTGAAGATGATAAAGACCGCTCTCGTAGTGAAACAGATAAGACTTCGCTCCCCTCGACGCACCCAGTCGTGGAACAGCCGAGACTCGTATATAGTCACTGGACTAAGTAGCCGCTAATCGGCGAGGGCACAACACCTCGCGTACGATAAGGTCGCTGACGCAATTCGACAGAGACAGGTCGTTGTCCCTCAGACGTACTTTGACGTACTAGTATTTTCAGCGCCTACAGACGCAGAACGAGTGAGACGCGCATAACCCAATCGGCACCGTACGCAGACGGGAATTGACGAAGGCAAGCTGCCCTGTATGTGATAAGGACCGCTGTCGTAATGCGACGGATGAGAGATCGTACTCGCCCAACGCCCCCATAACGCGCAGCGACCGAGACATATGAGATCGAATCGACGGCCGATGCCGCTGCGACACGTTGAAGGCACGTTGCCCCGAATGCGATACGCCCGACGTCGCGACTCGATGGATGAGAGTTCATTGAAGAGGCGCCGTGCTCGCGAGACTTTCTCTTCATATCGATGAGGGTACACGACGATGACACAATACCAACACTCCGGCGATAATAGTCGAGGCCGTCAGTCCAGAGGGAGACCTGAGGAGTGTAGCGACCACCTGAGGAACCGTAGCGACCGAAAGCCGTCGTAGATAGGAATAATCGTCGTCACTCGTGCAAGACGATCGAAGCGAACACTCGTCAAAGTCGAAGTGCGCCAGTGCGACTGCCGATAGCCGCTCGGAAAATCCGTACGCTCCTAGCGATAAGTCGATGATTAGAGTCATGATACGAAGAGATGTCGGACGTGGGCGTACAAGGGAGAGACACACAGACAGACAGGATGTATGTGGCTCATAACCTGCGTACTTGCCCAGTTGCTTCTCAGTATTGAGTGCAAGGACAAAGTCAGATGGTCAAGCACCGAAGCACCATCAGGGCCATTTGCCGTTGTGGTCCATCGTGTCCTTGCAGAGCCTCATTGCCGTTGTGGCGTGGCTGCCTGCGAACCGCATCTGACCGCATCGAAAGAACGCACAGCATATGCATGTTTGCATGCATTCCTCCTTTTTGCAGCTGATGGACGGTGCCGGAGCCGCCGAGAAGGAGATGACAAGGCCTGGGCGAGAGGGGAGGAGAGGAGACGCCTGGCCGAAGTGCTCGCCGAGCAGATCTAGACCTGGCTCCTGCAGAGGCCGAAGACGCTGGGCTGGGAGGGCGGAAGACTGGGACTCAGTTTGGGAAAACGAGACGACGCAGAAGCGAGACAGGAAAGCTCGTGTTTGTAAATTGGGGCCAAATTGGGGCCTCGAGACTTTTTCATTCGTCTTGATGGGGGCCTCATGCGAGCTTGGGGGCTTTGCATGCATTTCGCGACGCGGCGAGCGCGGAGCGAGTCCCGACCCCCCGACGGAGGAGGGCAACTCATGTGGGTGAAACAGCCACACACGCACACGCACGCCCACAGCTCATCCTGGGCGCTTTCGGCCGGATATCTGTGTGCTCGATGACGGAATCCGATGAGGCCAGGCGCTCCTAGAACACCTCCCTCCCTTTGAGCGAAGCGTCATTCTCCTGAGGACATGACTGAGAATGAGCTGGAGGCGCGATCAAGTGGTGCTTGAATTCAGTCTCTCCCTCGTCTCAAAATGCCACCTCGTAACAGTAGTGACCGACACGTCGACGCGACCCCCCCTTCAGGCACTTAGGGGGGTCGTGAATAACCTGTTCGCCCCCCGCTTTTCCTCCTATGCAGATCTTCCCTCCAATGTTGAGGTGCCTCTGCACAGCCTCGGCGTCAACCCCCCCCCCGACGATAAACCCAACAGACAGCCAGCGCATGGACATCTACTGCGTGATCGACGGCAAGACTACCTGCTCGACGTCACCATCGCCCACCCCTGCCGCCCTGACGACTCCCAAATGCCCTTTCACCGGACAGCCAATCAACGCGGCGCGGCGCACAGCCTCCAGGAAGAACAACTTGCGGGGAAAATATCCATGGCGACACACCTTCGCACTTGCGCCACGGGAGACACCAGAGAGCTGCATCGTCGCGTGCGTGTGTGAAGCCGATGAATCAGTCTGTGAGGGAAAGGGGATCATCCTCATCAGACCATCGGAAAGAAGCGAAAGTAGAAAAGATGCATGCGGCACCAAGGCTGCCATGCGTTCTGCAGCAGAGTGCCTTCAGCGAGGCGGCTCTTCTCCCCACGGTCTCTAGATCAGCCACCGGGCTCGATTCGAGGCGGATTGGATGGGAATGGGGCGCTGACAGGGCAGAGGATCGATCGTGTCTTTCGGGCGGTGGGGCGGGAGGAGTGTATACAACGGAAACCGCAGAGTGTTCATTTGGTCCTTGAGGCACTAGCGCCTTGACGCACAAGAATTTGTGGCGGTGATTAGTCCATGCTGGACTGTGTCAGTTACAACCGCTATCGAATTATCTAATTGAACAAACACATCAAAACATCCAACACACACAAACAAATACACCCCACCTCAACTATTACGTGGTAGGGTATCATTTCTTATCCTCAACTACAACGTGGTAGGATGGGACGCGGGGGATAGGCCAGTATGGAAACATAGCTCTAATGTAATTGAGACAAGCACTTCGACGCTGGACGCTGTTCTTTCTCTTACAGAGCGCCTTGCCTCCCATACGGCCATCAAAGATGCCGCCGCCACTGTAGGAAAGAAACACACTGGACTCGTTGTCTGGGTTGAGCCTTGCCGCAAGCCAGTTAAAGAGCATGTCCTCGCAGTTCAGCTCACGGTTGATCAGAGCTATGACCGACCTGCAAAGCGAAGGAATGCAGGAAGAAGGCATGTGCCCTCTGCCTCTTCTCCCATACGGAGGTATCATTGTTCGGTAGGCCTTCATGAGTGAAGTAGGCACCAGAGCGGCACTGGTAAGACCGATGGCACCATCAGGCTCGATGCGGTATCTCTCTGGACGATAGTACCTGGACACGCATGCGGCTGCAGTGATTGTCTTATGCCGGAACCAATCTTCCAGTGACCGACCAGAGTAGCTGAGTGTCCTTGCACAAGTAGACGTGTCGGTTGTTCTTCTTGACAGTGATGATCTTGTTGGGAAAGCGTTGGGCGGCAAGAAGAAGGCCGTGCATCAAATCTACGTGACATAATCAATTGACGGCGAATGATCGAAGTGAGTTCGCGACGAAGAGCTCGCTGGCTCACCGCAAGAAAATGACTTGTCGTCGTCTACGATGACGGTGAACGGCGTCGTGATGTGCTCTGTAACGAAGTACCGATCTCCGAGCCCCCTCTTTCCAGGCGCAAGGCGGACCTTGCTGGTGTTACGGAAGTAGGCCTGCGCTGCTTCACTGGGGCTTTCCTTTTCGCTCCACCAGTCGATGAGTATCTCATGGGCCACCAAGCATTTTTCCAGCAGCCTGACGTGCTTTGCAAGCCAGTTCTCCGCCCTTGAGGGACCCATGTATACCACGACAGTTACGAGGCCCTAGGCGAACGAATTGATGGATATATCACCCTTAGAGCCATCGTACCTGCAGCCGGGTCATTGGTATGTCTTCAACCCACAAAGTGACGATCTGCTGGCTTGGTGGCCCTCGCTTTCCTCTATCATCGTCCGGTTCGACCAGCTTTGATCCACATGGTGGAGGCCTCCACGCATTCAAGGTCGACAAATCGGACAGATTTTCATGAGAAGAGTTGCTGGCCAAGATGGGAGGAGCCACAAATATCGCAGCACTGGAGCCACGCAATATAAGCGAGGCGCTGTTGTCAAATCCTCGCGCCAATTCCCGTGCGGATTCCTTCGTGTCAGCTGTGTTAATGAAGTACACGGCGGCGGTTGTTATTGTCGCAGCAAAGGCAATTAGCGACAGAAATGGACAGGTTGAAGAGCTGGACGCTCGCCCGTGCCGCCTCTCCCCCATTATCCTCTGGACTTCGCGAGCTTTTAGCGAGCGGAGGCACGCTCTTACCCGTCTTTTGGTGGTGGTGGTTAAGGGTAAGATTGTCCGTGTGTCCATGCGCTGGGACGGTCGATTACATGTTCGCATCCAAACTATTGACAACAACAATCAAAGCATTCGCTACCTACCCATGCACGCCCACCCACCCACCCCCTGCAATCAACGAGGGTGGAAAGGCTCCCGCTCTAGCAACAGCCCCTCAGCAAAACCCGCCCTCTCCTGCCCATTCCACCTGCTTGCCCGCCACGCCCTGCTCCGCACCATGTGTGCGTTGCCCTTCTGCAGCAGCACACTAAGTCGAGCCCACCACCTCTCCACTGCTGTCTCGCGGAAAAACTCCACGTCGCCCTCCTCCATATAGACAGGTGGCCGCATGTGCCGGGCCATACGGTTGAGAAGAGCAGCCGCCTCGTCCCCCCACCGTCCGTAGCTCTCCGCCGACAGTGGGACGATGGTGAAGTTGCACCCGTCTTTTTGATGGCCCCGCTGCGAGCTTGGGGGCATCCGTGCGAGCTTGGGGGATTTGAATGCATCTCGCGCGACACGGAGCGAGTCCCGACCCCCCGACGGAGGAGGGCAACTCATGACAAAGAAGGAGGAAACTCTCCTCTGTATGACCGAATGAAGCCTCGAAAATCTCGCCGCTGCATCCGCCTCCACCGGACGGCTACAACGATGTGCGATTTGCAGGGGAAAGCCCCGCGAAGCGACGGGGCCTCCTCAGCCCGAGATAGAAGAACCTTTGCACGACAGCCACGTCCCTTGGACAAGCTGCTCCCCTGGACAAGTAAGGCTCCCAGGCAAGGTGAGCGCGACACCCCCCAAATGATTGAGGCGACTGTGCGTTTGACGAAGAATGCATGTGTCCAGCAAATACGTCGATCACACCAGCCATGCGATGAGTAAAAGAACACATGTCCTTCTCCCTTTTGTAGCTGTGTCTATCTATGTATGCGTCTGGACACGAAGAGGCATAAGGCACGAGAAGAGTTGTCGGATAAGATGGCAGGAATAACAAATATCTCAGCATTAGGGCCCTGGGACATGCGGGATTTGGTGTTGCTGTATGTCGGCAAGTCGCTAAATCGCCTTGTCCCCACTTCCTGGGCGTGGTGCTGTATAGATTTTGAATCCCTCGGGCCAGCTTTTCCAATGAAGTACACAGCGGCGGCTTTTATTGTCGCAGCAACGCCAATCAGTGATAATGGATAATGCTTCGCTAGAAAGGGAGGGAAGGCCCACCAGCGTCGCAGCGGCGGCAATAGTACGAAACAACAGGAAATGACGTCGAGAATCAGAGTTAGAGTCTCGTTAAACGACTCCTGCCGCTCCGGAGCGACAGGCCTCGCGCTCCAGAGCGAGAGGCGAACGGCGCCGGAGCGGGACGAAAGGCTCCAGAGCGAGAGCTGGCGCTACGATTGGCCACTGGCTGGGCATTACGGCTTTTTCCGGTCATCCCGAAGGACGAAAGTGCCGATTCGTTGATGTTTTCGGTACTTGTCGATTTTTCACCGATTCCAGCCATCCTCATCCCTTCGGCGACTCCTACCCACTGACTGTGAAGCTGCCTGCTTGATTGTTGAAGAAGGAAGTCAAACCAACCAAGCCCGAGGCGTCAAGGCGTGCCAAGAAGCAGA